CAAAGAAAAATCAAATTGTAAGGAATTATTGCAATTAATGATGGGGAGGAATGCAACAAATTCTCTATCTTTCCTCAATGTTGCTATGGTTACAACTGTCAAAGGGTGAAACAAAAAACCTCTGCAAGGGGCTGACTTGAAGAAAAATCTGATGATAGGAAAGGTCAGTGATAACACTCATAAAACTTATGAAAAACTCAAGGAGTGTAAGAGGCTATTTGATAGATGCAAGAGGTGGATGATCACCTGAATATGATCAATATTATCTTTCTCTTGTGTCTATAGTAGGCCTCTACTAATATTGTTGATGGTGATATGTGTGTGTGTGTGTGTGTGTGAATGATGCCCTACAGAATGTTTAGACATCCTTTCTGATGTATGAACTTGAGAAGTTCATGTTGATTTATTGTGTTTTGGTTTTTTATTGAGAGGAAGAAATAATCGTCTAAGAACAAGGGAGAATGGTAGATCACTAATGTGAAGAAGTCATCTTCTATATGTGGTTCATCATGAAGTATTTTGGTCATCCATGTGTGTTGGGTGTTTATAGATGAACTCTCAGAAGTAAGTCCAATAGGGTGATCATTATGAGATATTCCTATGACCAAGTTGGTGTTAGAACAACATCTCAACAGTTTATGTCTCTAAGAGTCAGGATGAGCTATATCTAAAAACTCTCTAGTCCTTATGTTTTTTTCCTTCAGAAAGACATTTACTTTGGTTGTTGATTTTGTTGGAGAAATGATAGAGTAACATTCTTGGCCAAGTCTAATGAAGTTTTTTGTAAGACTATGGTGAGGACATATAGGTTGGGCACTCGAATCTTCTTTGAATTTGTCCAAGGATGCAATGTTCAACCAGTTATCATGAAATTGTATTTTGGAGTGCTTAGTCTCTAAATCCCAAGGATGACAATGTTCATAGTATGACAAAATGTGTGAAGGGCAGGAGTGCATGCTTTTATGGACGGTGAGACTACATTGTCTCCTCATCTAGGGACATGTGAGAAATGTTCTCAAGAGTATGAAATATGTCACGTAAAGTGTTGGAATATTTCAATGATCAAGACTTGGAAAGAGGTAGATATATCACACCCTTGCCTCTCTCCTGAAATGAGTGGTGCACCGAAAACAAGAATGGCCTTATCTTCCTTGGAAATCGCCTGCATTGACTGAATTTTGTGTCAAACAAGGAATCATTTTAATCTATTGTAAACTCATTGATGTTTAAGTACCTCTTACTGGTCCATTTCTTTCAGGTTGTGTTATGTTTCTCTTTTGGTTTCCCCTCGGTTTTCTCTTTTTCTGTGTATGCTTTTTGCTCAAACTCAGCTCTTGACAATTTTGGATAAAAAGGGGGGAGTAGTATTGTATTGTTGAGTCTTGTTTTCATTGCAATGAGTTGTTATGGAGTTGTTGCTCCTTGCAAGCAACAATTAAAGGGGAGTATGACCTTCTGTCATAAGGGTTTTCTGTTCCTTCATCTGATAAGTCTTATGTTGTGGGTGTATACATATGTCATTCAAGATGTTCTAACATCTTATCTGGTCTGGTGTGTCTTTTTATTTCTATCACATGATCTTATAATATGTGTTGCTTCTGTCACACAGTCTTCTATCTTTCGTTATTCAAGTTAGAATTCTTCTTGGTTTCTTGAGGCTACAGGAAAATTCTCCTGAGACTCTGTGTCAAGAATTGGTTCTGAGTGCGAGGGGGACTAGCTTGGTTGTTCTTGAAGATGTAGTTTATCTTCTTCCTCGTGTACACAAAATGACTTAAGGACTTTCTTCCTTCATCCTGGGTGTATTATGCAGTAATGAAAGTGTTATTCTCTGAAGTGGTACTTAGCAGGTTTAGTAGGTTTAGTGTTCTAGACTAAACTGCTGTGAAGATTTGTCAGACATGATGTCCTAACATGTTGAGAATTTCGTATTCTCTTGTTTGTTGGGTTGAGTAGTTTCCACTAGTTGTTGCTCTGATATTTGTTGTACTAACTTCTGCTGTTGTGCCTCTATTGTTGTTTATGTGTGGAAGATGTACTAAGTTGTTTTAGCCAAAATAAGCCAAAGGAGGAGATTACTAATTCTCTGTTTTTTTGTGATTGACATTATGTTTGGTAAAACTAATTTAACATAGACATGTTGAAATAATATGTTTTATCAACTGGAGCAACATGTCAAATGCGATGTCCTATGTAGTTTCTTTCGACATCGTGATTTTATACAGTTAGATTGTTGGATATTTTAGTTTGTTACATGTGCAAAATATTCTGTAAATATTATGCTATTCTATGTGGCACACAATTTGAAGATTCAAGCTGATTTCAAGGAGAATTCTTAGTTTTTAATTATGGATATAATTAAGGAAACTAATGATTGATGTCCTATCTTTGAGGAGATAATTTTGCAGCGCCTCTTTCATATCTTGCTGCGTATGTGAAGCCCAAATCTAGTCCTTTGAGGAGATAATTTTGAAGCGCCTCTTTCATATCTTGCTGTGTATGTGAAGCCCAAATCTAGTCCATTGAAGATTATAAATAGAAGGCTTCAACCCTAGTATAAGTGTGAAACTTACTATGTATTTTTATTAGGGTTTGTGTGTTAATTGTGAGCCTCTCAGTTATCATCTTGATAAAAGAGTAGGATTGTGTTTTTGTGTTGTAAGTTCTGTCAGTTATTCCAAAGCTTTTAAGTAGTGAATGATTGTGTGTCTTTGAAGTGTGACTTATGTTATTTTCTAAGTGTTTAGAATTGTTCAATCATTGTTCTGTGATTGAAAGGGATTTGAGAAGGGTCTCATACCCAGGTGAGTCTTAGGTAGAAGTTAAGAAAGGGTTGTGATTAAGGGAGAAGTTGTAAACGGGGGAGTTTGGCTTCAAATTGATACTATCTAGTTGATTTCGTCTCTGGGTTGGTAGCCCTTAGAGCAGGTGTTGTTGTACACTGATCTGGGTTAACAATTATGTGTGTCCTTTACTTTTCTGCATTGTGTTTATCGTTTACCTTGTCATTGTATGTTTGTTCAGAGAAAGGTGTCTCAATATCTCTTAGTATATCTGAGATTTGAATACCAGAATTTCAAAATCCACTCCACTTGACCCAAGGTATATAAATCACTCCACACAGAAATCAAGGTAGATGCTCTCTAATCTCCACTTTCAACTATAATCTTCATGAATCGTGAACACACTTGGGCGTTGGAGTGCTAACCATGCGGGTCCTCCCTGCGCCACAATACTTGAGACGTAGTTATCGATTCAAGATCCCTAATTCATCAACTTTTCTCAACTCTAGTTCCAAGACAGAAATCGACTTCTGACTCCTACGATTTCCACGGTTTTAGAATCAATCTCCAATTGACCCGTTCTTAACCTTCTTAGGTCAACAAATCAAGATCATTTCAACATTGAATATGGATATTCGTCGAATTCGCTCTAATCAGCTATTGTTTCAACCACGATTCATCAGATTTCCAAATCTCATATTCCCTTGAGAACTCTATGAAGAAAAATAAGAGTGGATCCTAGATCTAGATCTACACCAAAATCACCAGATACTGAAGGCGGTCTCCTTGAAGGTAATGCAAAAAATTCATGATCCAACTTACGATCTAACATCCGTATATTTCTCTCCGCCAACGTGATAATTATTGTGGCGATGCCAAAGTTACAACGAGTTCATAGCTAATGGTCAGCGTAGATCCGATATCAGAGTACCTCTTATAGGTACCAAAAGATCTCCGACCAGTGTATATGACTTCCTCAGACCAAATCCAATATTTTGTGATAGAGCATGTTGATCATGTTATATCTTTCCCTTATCACTTGTTTCAGTTCCTACTAAAAGATCAGGCGATTCTATTGTTGATACTAATTATGCGTATTTATGTGTATTTGATACGGCTTAAATAAATTTATCACATGGTTGCATACCTTACATAGATTAGGCAATTTTAGTGTATCTGACACGACTTAAATGAATTTCTCGCATGACTACGTATTTGATACAGACTAAACACATCATTATATATCTAATGCAGACTAACCACATTTCTTCTTAAAAAGCCCACCCCAATCTAGCCAATCCAAGGGTATTAGACGGTGAAGCTCAAAGACATTCACTTTGATCCAAGCCACGTCTCGGGGGAAGGGACGTAGATCTTACCCTTGGTCGGGAAACGATCCTATGTGACACAAAGTGCAATATAGAGAAACAAATCTATCTCATCATTTCCACCAATTACAAGTCCCACCGGGGGATACACAAGCAACACGGCCAGTACATCACAGTTTATACGCTACTCAACAAACGCTAAACAAAAAGAATATAACAACCAAAAATAATAGCTAACGTTAGTTGGTGCATTAAGCTACAAATCATAATGACCATTGTCGAGAAAATGCAAAGACCACATCAGGTACTTCGGTGCAATAAGGCGTCTCTCTCCCTCCTATTATGGTTTTATAAAATTCTTAAATAAAGAATAGTTTTAAAAAATAGTTTTGTAAAATTATGCTACTAAACAAATTTTATGATTTATCAAATTTTAAAAACTAAAAAACAATTTTACAAAACCAAATAAAAAAACCCTAAGGTATTGAGTTCAAACATAAATAAATTTTAATTTAGGATGATTATAATAAGAGAATTCAAATTCGAAACTTCCTTAAAAAAATTATTGACCAGGACTTTATTTTTCAAAAGGTTAAAACAAAAGCGAAAAGGTTAAACACGATAAATTTCTATTTGTTTTTCTTCAACAAAAGTTTAAATTTTGAATGTTCTTAAAACTGACATGCACTTTATTCCTTTTGAACGAATATAAGGTTGCATTGTTTGAATCAATGAAGGCATCAGATTCATTCAAATCATTATCGAATAACTAATTAACCACACGTGTAATAATAAAGTATAAATACAGAAGCTGAAATTAATACAATCCAAAATCGACACAAACAATTTTCCAACAGAACAACCTAAGAGTTTCGACCTTTTGAACGAAATGGCATACCAAAACAACAACTATGGATGGAGTCACATTCATGAGATTTTGGAACCTGTATCCTATCCGCGGCATCATCATCATCATCATCATCAAAACCTTCATGGTGCAACATCCGAGGAACCTAAGGCAAACCAATCATACTATAAAAATGTTTGTCGTGAGAATGAGGCCGATCGACAAGATTCGAGGTTTCGCCACCGCAATAATAGTACTTATGAAAGTGTTGATCAAGAGGCTGAGGCTTTTATTCAACATGAACATAGGAGAATGGCATTAGCCAAACTCATGAAGAGTACTTAATTCAGCTTTCATGAGTGTCACCATGATCGCTGTAGGAGATCTGTGTTCATTTAACGTGGATTTGGATTTTTTAAGGTTGTTGTATGGTTGTGTCCCTTAAACTTATCTTTTATTTTTTTTAGCTCTATTTTAAGCTATAGTTTCAAATACAATAATGTTCATCCCATGTACCCGGGCATGTATTCGTTCATCAATTAATTAACAAATCAAAGCCTTACTTTTGTATTTTTTTTTTTTTTGTCATTTGATTTCAATGGCTTGATGTCATTGATTTCCTCCCGACTATCTATAAAAAAAAAATGAGAACAAGAAAAAGTTTTGAGTTTCAAATTTGTTCTGATATATCAATAGAAAACCTGCAGAATATTACACACCTTTGAACACTAGGCAAGAGCATATATGGATATATGGAGAGAACCCAACAAGTGGTGCATGTAGCACAGAGTCAAGGGTAATCATATAATCATATAATGGGGAGAAAACCCAACAAGTGGTGCATGTAGCACAGAGTCAAGGGTAATCATATAAACAACAGTCACCAATTGAAGATAGTGATTTAGCATCTCATTCAAGAAGCCCATTTAAAAAGATATGTAAAGGAGTTTATAGAAAAAGTGTGTATTTCATTATTATGAACTTATTGATACATAGCATAGAGAAACTCTATATATAAGGTGTAATTACTTACATCTCAAGTAACAAAATAACTAATTATCATATATACATGGACAAAAGAAATAGCTAAAAAACTAACTTAACAAACTAGTTTATATAATTTAATAGCCTCCCTCAAGCTGGAGCATAGTTGTTGGATATGCCAAGTTTGGATAAAAACGAAGTGAAAGGTAGTGGTTCAAGAGGTTTGGTGAATATATTTGTGAGTTGTGCAGAACTAGGAACGGAAGCAGATGAAATAACTTAGCAGTGAGTTTTTCGTGCACAACGTGACAATCAATCTTTATGTGTTTCGTTCTTTCATGAAATGTTGCATTAGCGGCAATACGACGTGCATAATGACTATCACAATAGAGGAGTGCAAGACTGATGAACTGAACGTTGAGATCCATGAGCAAATAAGTTAACCATTGGATTTCACAAACAGCGGAGGCAAGAACATGATACTCAGCTTCTGAGGACGTGTGAGAAACTTTGAGTTTCTTTTTGAATTTTCAAGAGATGAGAGAGTCTTCGAGAAAGATGCAAAAGTCTGTGATGGAACGACGAGTATCAATGCATGATGTCTAATCAGAATTACTGAATGCATTGAGTTGAAGGGGAGAAGTAAAGAAAAAGAATAATCCTTGGGATGGGGATTGTTTGGTGTATCGAAGCACATGATGAGCAACTTGTAAATGAAGAGTTATAGGAAACGACATAAGTTGACTTAGTTGTTGGACAAAAAACTAAGGCCGGGTCTTGTATTACACAGATAAATTGACCTCCCTATGAGCCTTCTATAGGTAGTATGATCAGTGGGAGAAGAAGCACCTGAGGTGGTGTATTGGTGAGTTTTAGTCATTGGTGTGTTTACCGTGAAACTTAGTAAACAATTGCTAGTCTTCCAAATTCTAATAACTCTTGTTACTTACCGGATCAACTAGATTGATCCTAGGATAATAGCTTATAGTTTTAGGTGTTTTATAGGTATTTTCTGGATATGGATATTTTCGATTATAAAGGTAAGTTCAAATATAAATGGTAAAAGAGAACAATAAATATAAAGAAAGTAAATGACAAAGAAAATAAGTAAAGCTTCGACTAAAAATTGTAAAAGAATTGTAAATGACTTTAAAAATGAAAATGCTGCATTTAAAGATAAAAAGATGGCGTTTTAAACGTACATTCTCAGAACTCGTTTCTCAATTAACTTTGATACTTTTGGTGAATAGAGTAATTTGTACAACAATTGAATACACATAAATCTAAACTAGAGACTCCTATTTATACAAATTTTAAGAGAATGGTCTTCTCATCAGAAGAGGACACGTTCTCGCTTGCATGCGTTCGATCCTTCAAATGCCTCCACGCATCTCTCTGGTCCATTCTTTAATCACCTGATAGGGAGTTCATCGGCAGGGTTCACCGAATTAATTCTGACTGGTGAACGAGTTGAAGCTGGCATCAAGAGCGGTAAAATTCAAAAAGACACATCTGCTTCCGCTTCCGTCAAAAAACCTTTTCCAGCCAAGAAAGAGGTGTTATCTGTTTACTCCCAAAGAGGTTGAGGAAGAGTGGAGCGTCGGCCAACGGTGGGGGCTGTAATGACTCAAAAGACTGCAGCTGATCAGCCTAGAAACGACCAACCCAGAACCAACCAACAAAGAGCGGGAAGGCCTGCTAGGAAATTCACCAAAATAAACATGATGCCTGCCCAGGTTCTCCCCCATCTCTTGAAGTTAAACCTTACAACCTTGAGAGAGCCACCACAAAATCTGAATACAACTTCTCCTTTTTACCATGTCAACGCTAAATGTGCTTATCATTCAGACGACATAGGGCACGACACCAACAATTGTTAGGCCCTCAAAAACAAGATCCATGATTTAATAGATGCCAAGGAGGTGGAATTGGACGCGCCCGAAAAGCCTAATGTGATCTCTGCCTCAATGCCAAAGCATGGTCACAATGTCCATGCTATCGAAGAGGATCTGTATGTTGCTGTTGTTGATGACTTAATGACCCCTTTACCAATAATCAAGATGAATATGTTGAAAGCCGGGATTTTCCCAGGCTATGAAAAAGATTGTTACCTTTGTTCGTCCTTACAATCCGATTGTCCGTTATTGAAGTTAGGCATCCAACGCCTAATGGATAATCAAGAAATCCTCTTCGAGAAAACTCCTGTTACTCCTGTTACTCCAACTCCTATCAACGATGTTGCTATAATTACCATTTTCGCCAGTCTTTCCAAGGTCTCCAAAAGACCTGTTAAGATTACACCCGATCTAAAGTTTGTACCGCTGAAGGTTACTATGTTGGGGCCTATCCCATACAAGTCCAACAAGACAATACCATGGAATTATGGAGGAGAGATCTTCTACCACGGTGTTAAGCAGATTGAATCGGTCGAAGAAAATTACGATGAAGAGACTCCTAACATAGGAAATATTGTTGGGACGAGTAAGATCACCCACAGCGAAAGAATCTTCTCTCCGGAGATTGCTCCTCCAAGGGAAACCTTCGGACCCTCAAATGCTTCTAAGGTTACTCCTGTGCCGGTCAACATCTATGTGCGAAGTCCAGTTATTGAAGAAATTTTTACTCCCATAGTTGTACCCTCTGCTGTTGCTGCTGATAAAGGTAAGGGGATCCAAGAAGCGTCCGTCAGGACGAGGGCTCAGCTTTTGGTCATCCCCAAGACCACTCAAAAGGAAATGGAGGAGATTTAAAAAATAATTAAGAAGAGCGACTATGATGACGTAGAACAACTGGGGCAAACCCCTTCAAAAATCTCTATGCTGGCCCTATTGCTCTGTTCCGAGGCTCATGCCCAAGCCTTGATCAAATTCCTGAAGACGGCCCACGTTCCTCAAGAAACCTCCGCAGACCAGTTCTAGGAGTGTGTAGCCAGCCTAACCGCCGACAATGGTCTTGGCTTCTCCGATTCCAATCTAACATCTAAGGGGAGAAAGCATAATGACGTGTTGCATGTATCGGTGGAATACAGAGGGACTACTCTTGCTCACATTCTGGTTGATACCGGGTCGTCTTTAAATGTCCTGCCAAAGAAAGCATTGGACATATTGGACTGTGAAGGTTTGACCCTAAAGCCCAGCAATATCATTGTTAGAGCCTTTGGCGGTTCTAAGAGGATGGTCCACGGGGAGGTGGACATACCAATTAAAGTGGGAACGAAAATTTTCAACTCTACATTTTATGTGATGGACATCCGTCCTTCATATTCTTGCTTGTTGGGAAGACCCTGGATCCACAATGTTGGGGCAGTCACTTCTTCTTTACACCAAATGCTCAAATATCCAGTCCATGGAAAAATTATAACGGTTCATGGCGAGGAGTAGTATATGATAAGCCATCTTAATTCTTTCCGCTATGTGGAGTTAGATGGTGAGTTCATAGAAACCCCTTACCAACACTTTGAAGAGGTTTCTCCTAAAGTTGCGGCAGCCAAGACAATGACTTCTGTACCCATCATTACCAAGCCTGTTTCCCGGATGTCATCCCTTAAAGATGCGAAGGCTGTGATCGAGGAAGGAGGAAGCACAGTATGGGGTCAACTACCAGATTTTCCTTACAAGACGGATAAGTTCGGCTTGGGTTTCACCGCTGCTGGTCAGAAGGCTGTGCGTCGCTCCCGGGATGGAGGGCCACCGGTGAAGAGCACCCATCATGGAGTTCATGCTTTACAGGATGGTGAAGATGAGAGCAACTTTGAAGATTGGATTTTCCTGACTATTGAAGGAGGAATGAACAACTGGGAGGCGAAAGACTTCATTCCCATTACTTTCATAAATCAGTAATTTATCTTTCGAACATTTCTGTTGGTCTGTAATAATTATTAAACAATTCGTACACTCTTTTTTCCTTGTGCCTTACCTGGGGCACATATGTCCATTTGTAAGGGCTTGATTTTTCATCTTCATATGCCATTTTTAATGAATCATGGACGTTTTCATATATAAAATTTTGTGTTCATTTTCTTTCTTTTTTACATTTTATTTGTTTAAAGGTGGCTATCCCTTACACACACCCACACTCACAAAATGCAGGCACCCTTCCATTCCGGATTCCATGGGTGACAATTCTGCTATGGCCTTTAGTGACTCTGAAGATCTGGTCAATCATGCCGAATACGAAGGTGATGAAGACTGTGAAGTTCCTGGAGAGTTGGCTAGACTTCTACAACAGGAAGAAAGGGCTATTCTGCCCCATGAAGAACTATTAGAGACTATCAACTTGGGTACTGCCAAAGACAGAAAAGAGGTTAAAGTGGGTGCCAACCTTGAGCCTAGTGTCAAAGAGCGTTTAGTTCAGTTGTTGAA